TAATAGAAAGAAAATAATATTGATAATTTTACAATATTAAACATGGTTATTTTTTATTTTAGTAACAAATAATATATTATAATTTCCTACTAACCTAATGTAAAAGTTAAAGTTTCTAAGTACAAACAAATATATTTAGAAAATGATTGTTACTAGTAATTTAAAAATAATTAAAAAAAAAACAACATTATCTAATAGTTTTATTTGCGTGTATTTTCATGAAAAAACTGCATAGATATACTATCGATATAGTATATTCGGGTTATATTGCTTCTTGAGTGCTATTTGATATTTTCAGAGATCGAAATTAATAGGTTTTTTCATTTTTTTTTAAAATTCTAAATACGTATATATATAAAAAAATATCTGTTTCTATGGAATTTTTATAGAAAAAAATGTTATACTTAGAAACGTTTTTCAATAGTGTTTTCATTGAACAGATATTTTAGAATCTGTATAATACAAGTTTCATAGAAACAAGTTACTTTAGAACATTTAATTAAAAATGCATTTTTATATCTAGTACTATTCATTGAATAGTATTCAGTGTCACTATTTACTACACATATTGAGAATTTTTTAAATACCGACGAACAAATTATCTGTTCCTTCGACAAAAAAATGTTTACTTTTGTATTCTCTGAAGTTCTATTCTGCCTGAAACTTCTATTTTCAAAAACACTTAGTTATCTGTCTTTATCGAGACTTATAATGTAAGAAGGAAAAAGTTTTACGATCTATGTTTCAAGAAGTTTTTCGATCTCTAAATGTTTCGAAGAAATTTATATTATAACGAAAGGGTCATTAAAAATAAAAACCAAAAACAATATTTGTTACAGAAAAAAACAAGTGATTTGCTGATTATACAACCATAATGTTACTACAATTTGTTAAGATAATAAATAAATAATGTGGTAACAAGAGCGTGAAATTTTGTATTTGTTAAACCGTTTTCAAGAAAAGTTAATATATCGTATAATTGTACAAAACGTGTTATTTTATGAGCTTGTGAGAAGTGCAAAAATATACAATCTTGATTGATTTGATTAAATCGAAAATAAAGTAGTTTTAGAAAATATTTAAAAATTTAGAATACTGCAATATATCCACATATAAAGAACAATTTATGGACAATCGATTGACAGAGAATTTCACACGTAAAAATAAAAGAAAGGAATGAAATTTTTTTTTCATCCAAAGCTTCTTTTTCAAGAAAATTGACTTTGAATATTTCGTAAGTAGGTATACTTGGATTAAATTAATTTCTGTAATAAACAAAATAAAAGTGATCGGCAGACGATCCTACGAAGGAGAATAAATAAAATATTGAAATATAAATTTTTCACAAGACCGTTCATTTTAAAATTCAATTTGATAATTTATCAAATACAAGTATACTTAAAAGCAATTTTTAATATACTCAAAATCTATTTTCTCGAAAATGAAGCTTCAAATGAAAAAAATTTCATGATTTTTACTTATTATTGCATGTAAAATATTGTTGTGTCAATTATTTACTTTTATTCGATACGAAATTTAAAAAACTTATATTTTTTTTTAAACTCATTCTTACATGTAGAATCATCTTCCAAGTAATTATCCACAAGTCGAGGGACACCTTGTACATATGTAAGTGAAACATACATGTATTTTCATCATGATATGGAGGCTTAGAAGCTAATCAATGTAATTTTCCACTAAAAATGACCTGTGCTATGTAAACGAATTTTTATTGTAAAAATCTTCACTCAATGGAACAGTTTAGTTATACTATATTATAGTATATATA